CAAAACCACAAGACTCAAAAGAATACATCTATCTGATTTCATTTATGTACAGTTCAAATGAACAAAATTATTTCTGATAATCGAAGTCAAGACAGTCATTAATCTTTGGAGAGTGAGAATGATATAGTGATAAAGAAGGGCACAATTAAGGGTTTGCAGGATGGTAAAAATATTGTATTTCTTCACCTAGATGCAAGCAACATGAGTATGCTCACTTTGTAATATTTCGCCAAATGGTACAATTATGAAGTGCGTTTCTGTATTTGTGTTATATGTCAATAAAATGTAAAGAAAAAGAATAGAAATGAGGGACTAAGCGCTGGGTATTTACCGAGGAGTCAGACAAAGATGGTTCTCTACAACAGCTGCAGCCAACGGTACAAAGCTTTTCTTGGTAATGCTCTTAGGAATTAAATTTGCTTCAGAAAGTCTCTAGTATAAAGAGATCTTCTCTATAACGTAGTTACAGATAAATTACAGTTCATTTTTTCACAAGATCTAAGAGAAGGATGAGACCTAACAGCATATAAAACATCAAACAATATATTACAAAAAACCGTGTACTAACCATCTTAGAGGAAAGGTGTGAAACTCGGAAATAGATCACAGTTAGGACTCCTCATTTCCACTTCACTTCCCATTTATTTTCAAAACCAGAGAAACATACCAACTATTTACTCACCTAAGCAAAACTGACAGTTCGCAGACTTAGCAGGACCAGAGAGAAGCAGATCTGTTCTATAAAGTCTTTGTTTTATGTAAATGCTATCTAAGTCCCAAAATAATTTAATTCAACAACTATATTTCTACTTAGCTATAACTAGTGATATGTTAGGAATCATGAAGACAATACAGAAGGTGGATTTCTGAGGAGCTTTAATGTAAAGAAAGGAGATTAAGATGAAAATCAGTAACAACAACAGAATAAACTCCAAAGAGAATGTGGTTAGTGACTTCCAGGAGTAAAATTAGTGAGAATAAAAATGAGAAGGGTATTATGACAGCTGTTCATCAAAAGACTTAAATAAGACACTGGAAAGTCTGTATTTAAACTCATGAAAAACTTTTCTATCTACATTCCATATACACAATTTGTGGGATATGTTATGCTCAACAATTCCTAGTTATTAGGAATATCAAATCTTGGTATGCTAATGACATAGCTAGTTATACTCAAAGATTTCTGTTGAGCATTAAAGCTGGCTTCTATGACATCACCTCAAATAATTAAGACTATGCCTCAAATATCCCAAACAGTCCTGAGTAAATTCCTATTGATCTGCTTGTAGTTTAGTTTATGAGATGCCACCTTTATCCCTCTCAACAGAATTTTTACCGACATTAAAAGACATCTAATACTTGCCTGTGTAAGACAAGTGTTAGATGCCCTGGAACTGGTGTTGCAGGAAGTTGTGGGTGCTGAGAATTGAACCCAGGTCCTCTGGAAGAGCATCCAATGCTCTTCTGAGCCATCTTTCCAGCTCCATCAGCTAATACACTGTATCTGCCACAGAGAAATTTGTACTTATTGAGCTTAGATCATTAAATTACACTAACATATTATTCCTCATCTCTCTCCTGATTTGGAAGACTTTGATCTTTGATCTCCTCTATCTATCTATCTATCTCTCTATCTCTCTATCTCTCTATCTCTCTATCTCTCTATCTCTATCTCATTCTCTAGATTGGAAAAACAACTAGAAAATCCCTCCTTTTGAGTTTCTGGAGACTTATCAATCAGCTCTAACCTTTTTTTTCTTTTTATTTTTGGGGAACAGTCACCAAAATTTTCTTTCTGATTGTAGGCAAAAAAAAAAAAAAATCACGTTTGATCTTCTTCATGGAAAAAAAAAAAGGTTTATTTTGTTGTTGACACATTCCTGAGATTTTCCACCATGTTTCTGACATTTGAGAGACATAATCATGACCAGACCTTCTTCTCTACAGTGTGATCTAGTGATTTTCAATGTTTTGAATTATTTGTTGTCAAATTCCGACACTTCTGGTGCATCTGTAGCCCTCAAGCTAACCTTCACTTAAGTATCCAGATGCAGCTACTCCTTCAGCTCAGGGAGACAGCTCATGATTCCAGAAACTCCAATGTCAACTTCTCACTCAGAAACCATGTCTCTACCTTTCCAAAGTCTCCTTTGCAGAAAATTTCTTATATTCCTGCTTTGTGTCCTGAATTCTTTCTATATTCTGGTTTGTTTGTTTGTTTGTTTGTTTATTTGTTTGTATAATACCAGTATAGTACATACACACCTTCAATGATTTCTGGAGTCTTTCTTTGAGTCGTAATTAAGACTCCACAGTCCAATCATCTCATAAGTATGAATAACTTTACCTTTGCCTAAATATATGCATGAGGTCACATAGTGAAATGCTGCTGACTGTTCTGCTCACCAGCTTAGTTCTATCAGTTTACCTTCACTCCTAAGTATGTTGGTAGGAAACGCAAATATAGTGCCCACTGGAAGATGGCAGGTTTTGTCTCTAGTCCTCTCTGTACAAGACTTGCTGTAACAGCAGCTCTTTATGTTGAAAAACTAAAATATAAAAGAAGACCTACGTGACCAAGTCCCACAGTGCTATTTACTTCCTTATTTATGAATCAGAATCTGTCAGCACAACTTAGAATTTTGACTGTCAGCAGATACTACGATTAAATGTCACTGAAAAACCAGCAGAGGGTGCAGCAGGGCACTAGAAATTTTACCCAAGATATAGCAGCACATCAGTGTAACTCAATTAGCCAATCAACTTTTCCTTTACTTATTCATTCATTTATATATTTGTTTGCTTGTTTGGTTGGGTTTTTTTTTGTTTATATGCTAAGGCTAATATCCTCAAAAGAAAAGAGTTGAATTTGGGATAAAATTTCTTCAGTGGGCTAAAATTCTCCTGAAAGTGAAATTCAAGATGAATAATGAATACATGGTTAAACTTAGTCTGGCCAAAATTAGTTAGAGCAGAACAAAATGACACCACATATCTGAATCCTTCATTTTGTAAAAAGCCTACTATGGAGCTTCAACCTCTTGTCCCTTCATCCCCTCCCCCACTCAAAAAAAAGACTTCTCAATAGACACTATTGTTGAGGAATGTGTACTAAATTGGAAGATGGGAGAGCACCTTCATCCTAATTTTGACTCAAGCTATGATATCTTGGGCCACTTCTCCCTTGAGGCCTGTATGTTCTCCAAAGGTATCACTAAAATAGACTCAGGTGGTAACTTACAAATCTGGAAAACATAAATTCCAATTAATGCTAGTAAATGTAAAGAACTAGCAGCGTTGCTTTGACCGCCCCAAAAGACTAAAACAGACTAAAGGACGGCAGTTAAGAAGCTGTGCTGAAACACCTTGGGTAAGCAACTAAATGCCATTGCAAAGCTGTGAGAGTCCCATGCCATCACAGAAGCTCTAGAATACTGCTGTCCCACCAATCTGTAAACAGGGCTCTGTCCATCCTGATTGCCAAAAATCCTTGACCACCATTTGAGTAAAGAAGTTGAATTCCCTGATTATAGATAGATAGATAGATAGATAGATGACATGACATAGATCGATCTGCTGATTCTCTTCTTTGATAAGCTGTTATAGAAGTTTGAGTGTCTTTGAAAGACATTTTAGGTCTGGGGCAATTTTACAAAGCACATTGTTGAAGAGAGAGAGAGAGAGAGAGAGAGAGAGAGAGAGAGAGAGAGAGAGA